GGATCCAAGCAATCCATTCTAGTCCTTTCCCAGCTGCCTGTCTGATCCAAGCTACATGAGGAGTGCTACTAAACCCAGAATATGTGCAGGTCAGTCTGTGGGATTCTCCAGGTCTTTTAACCACTGGTTCAGACTCAGTCAGTGTTTGACCATCGGTACCTGCAGACAATCAGATCATAAGTTTATTAAACAATTTGATTATTTATTCTATTACACATTAAAGAAGAATCAGTTGTTCTGACCTGTCCAGTTTACTGTTAGGATCATAAAAGCAATCAGAACCTCATGAAGTCTGATCATTGTAGCAGCCATGTGTCTCTGCTCAGTTTACTGTGTCTTAGACTCTGATTAACAGCAGGTCTGAACTCTTTAACTCCCTCAGACATGTGAAGGTAGAAGTAGAACAAATTTTGCATATACTCCTCCCTATTGGAAAGACACATACAGTGACTCATGATTCTGTTAACATTTGATTTTTTTTATCATTTTGGAACATGATGATGCTTCAAGATACATGTTCCTTATTAATTCCAAGCTGAAAAAATTTAAAACCAATCAAAACAAATCCAAACTGTGTCCGAGGTGGAGGCTTTAGAAACTATGCTATTATGAATTTAGGGTGGCGATAAGATAAGGTAGATAATCCATTATTTGGATTCAGGAGTATTTGGTCACGTAAAGCAACTCAGACATCTGTTAGATTAAAATAACAAACCAGTTGAGAAGCTCTTTGTAGAAGTGAGAAAATATTATTTCCTTTGTTACACCTGTATTGAACTGGAGCCTGAAAATACAGGAAATTGTAAATGTTTTTTTCTGTTTTTTTTTTAACCTTCTGAATTTAGGTTTGTAATATTTCTTAAATTTTAGGTCTGTTTGTCACAACTGACTACTTTTTAGACTCAAAGAACCCTAATTGATATGTGCTAATGCTTTGTTTACCAACCTCTGTTACATTGTTGTTGTTGTTGTTTTTTTTTTTTATTGTGAATAGATTATTAAATTTGCAATATTAACTAGGGCACACTGACACACAGAATGCTGCAACATGGCAACTCCCTTGCCAAACAATTACAAATAAGGCTACATTTTTTTCTTTTATACCTTTTATATTTTTCTCTTTTGTAATATGATTATATGTAATATAGTTAGCCAACCAATCAACATTAAATATTACAAATTAACTTGATTCCAAGTTTTATGACTTCATTGTAATGTTTCTTTGAGATACACACAGATAATGTGACATTGCAATAATGTCCCTTATAAAACTTGTAATTCATTTGTGGCCTAATAGCACCACCCATAGTTGATGAATTATAATACACTCAGGTTTAGGTTTTTGTACAGCTCTGCTGCTTGTTTGTGTCACTGTGTCTCTCTCTGGCACAGTAATAGACAGCAGAATCTCCAGGCTGCATATTCTGTCCTTTCAGAGTCACTGTTTTACTAGAAGTGACAAAGCTGATGCTGAACTTGTTCTTGAGTGAATCTTTATAGATTGTGCTCCATCCTCCTCCAGCTCTGCCGATCCATTCCAGTCCTTTCCCTGAAGGTTGTCTGATCCAAGCTGTTGGGAGGCTGCTAAGAGAATATGAAACCTGGCAGTCTATGGTCAGATGCTGACCTGGCTGCAGAGTTAAAGAAGCTGGCTGTGTCAGCTGTTCAGATTTCACATCTATAGAAACAGAAATATACATCAGAGTGAGAACAGTACAAGGACAATTTGGAGTGATTCTACTGTAAATATTTCTGTTTCAGTTAGACTCACAGGATCCAGCAGCCAGCAGCAGCAGCAGAGCTACAGAGAACATGTTGGTGTTAAAGATGATCTGAATGAAGTTTCTCTCCTTTTGCTGACAGCATCAGATCATCATTTTTAAAGCAGACTTTTCTGATTTGCATAAACCAGCCCTACCAGAAGCAATGTTTGTAAATACTTTGTTATGTACATTTAATTGGAAGGAAGAATTTATACATATATATTGGGTAATCTTATTTATGTTTCTGAAGATGTTTTACCATTTTAAACAATTATTGCCCAATTCTGGAGTTTCAGATATATCATTGTTTGTACATTTTTGCCACGTATTTCTCTTCCTTCAGTTTATAATGTCACAGTTAGAGGATGCATTGAGGGGAAATTAGTAGCAATGTTATATTAGAGCAAGATATTGGATTCAAATTTCAGATTAAGTTTCTGAGTGGAGTTTGCATCTTCTCCCTGTTGTTCTGAATGCTCCAGTTTTCCTCTACAGTCAACAAAGAAGAGTGTGTCTCTAGATTGCCCGTATGGATAGATATGTGTGCATTGTTTCCATGAGATGAACTGGCACTGGCAACAAGCCCAAAATGTTCCCAATCCTCCTTCCAAAGACGGCTTTGAGGTCGGCACCAGCCCTATGCAATGAAGCACGGTCAATCATGTATAGAGATTGATGGATTAATAGATGATCTCAGACACACTGACCTGCTACAGATCTCTATGAACAGGGTTACTTCTTACAGAACAGACCAGTCAACTCTGATCCGTTTTAGGGAATCAGTTAAAAGACAAAATATCTATAATTATTTTAAGCAGGAGAACCAAAAGAGCAACTGTGTTCATCATTTTTTAGTTGATTAACCTTATTTCAACCAACTTTAAAAGCTTTGAATAATAACAATCCATGATCCCTTTCTAGATATAGCTCCCCAAACGAATGAGATGATTCTGTGTTCTTTCAAAGTGTCGACACTGGAACAAGATTGTGATTAATTTTTTTCTGTTAAAAAGACAAAAGTTGTGTGTGATGCTTCACTGAAGGTAAAAACTAGTAAAATCCTTTGTCCTCCACTTAAAAGGTAAAAGCAGATGTACTAAAGGAATTAATGGTTCACATTGTAATACACATTTTTAACGTTTCAGGACCAATGTTTTTCTACTTTGAAACTGTTTGAATGCTTCCTTCTCAGAAAATTAAAAACATTGTATAGAAGTTTACAAATATAATTCCTTTGCTTTTACAAAAGTTAAAATTTCTCTGATTGGATCTTCCTGTGTTGATTTCTCTGTTTAAGAAGCACATGGAGAAGCTTCTTTCTAACAAAAAAAAAAGGTTTTTCCTTTTCATTCTTTGTTTTATTTCTCTACTATCAGAGTAAAACAATGAAATATTTTTATAAATCATACCATGATATGCATTTAGACATTCTGATAAATGGGGAAAAAGTTAATCAATGAGCTAGGACTCAGCAGCTACAGAAAAGCTACAGAAAATATTGTTTTGTTTAAGATGATCATAGCTTCTGTTCTTTTGCAGCTCACAGCTTCCCAGCAAGTCGTCATATTTAGATTAATTCATTTGCATAATGATAAAGAATCATTCAGCATATTTGCATTTGTTTAGTTTTCTGTAAGCTATATGAAGGGACACTGTGCATAAATGTAGAATATTAAATGTAATTTAAATAAGAACTTTGCCAGTCAGGGTTTCTGACGGGACGATTTGTGTGAGTTTAGATCACATAATGAGGTCAAATTAACTTTGTGATTCTATTAAAATAAAGGATTATTTAATTGCCTAGTTTTACTATATTCTTTGAAATGTGGATGATTTTACACTTTTGTTTTTCAGTGTGGAAATTAAAAAGTATCAGAAGATGGTTCCAAAAGTTACTTCTCTAATTCTTCCATAGACAACCTTTAAACTCAACTCTGACTAGATCTGAATGTTTCTTCTAATGAAGTGGTGTCAGGGCTCCCCCTATGGTGTCTTCTTGTTAAAACTATTTATTCTAAGGAGTTTTTGTACAGCGTTCCTGCTTTCTGTGTCACTGTGTCTGTCATGCACAGTAATAAACAGCAGAATCTCCGGCTGTCAGACTGTTCATCTGCAGATAAACCTGATTTCTGCTGTTGTCTCTGCGATGGTGAAACGGTTTCTGACTGAGTCAGAGTAGTAGATGTAGACACTGTCATCGCGGATCCAGGAAATCCATTCCAGTCCTTTACCAGTTGCCTGTCTGATCCAAGCTACATAAGGAGTGCTACTAATCCCAGAATATGTGCAGGTCAGTCTGTGAGATTCTCCAGGTCTTTTAACCACTGGTTGAGACTCAATCAGTGTTTGACCATCAGTACCTGCAGCCAATCAGATTGTTAATTTTTCTGAAACAATTTGATTATTTATTCTATTACACATTTATTGAAGAATCCATTGTTCTTACCTGTCCAGTTCACTATTAGGATTAGAAAAGCAATTAAAACCTCATGAGGTCTGATCATTGTAGCAGCCATGTGTCTCTGAATTGTCTCCTGTGTGTTTGTCTTTGATTTACTGCAGGTCTTTAAAGGAATAGTACACCCAAAACACGATTAGCCTTCATTTTCTACTCACCCCCATGCTGAACAAAACTCTGGAGTACTTTTTTGATATCTCAAATGCATCTGGAGATCTGGGAGGCTTCTTGCTGTCTGCTGACATTCAAATAATGGAGGTCTATGGCGCCCGAGACAGAAAGGTCCAAAAAAGTCCACAAAAACGTGTCAATATTCCTCCATACTGCTCGTCCAATGTAATCCAAGTGTCCTGAGTGGGTAGCATCCATAATTTACTCGAAACGAAGTCATTTAGAACGTTTTAGAGCCTAAACAGTAGTGTATAGGATTTGCTAATAGCGCCCCCATGCGCGCTCACGATTCTACGGAAACCGCGGCAGACCAAACCGGAAGAAAGTGCGCATTCAGCGTCTGCTCTGCCGATAATGCAAGCGTAGAAGAAGAAATGCGCTGTTTACCTGTGCAAAGAAAGAAAAAATGAAAGAAAAATGTCTGAGGACTTCAGTGTTGAGGAAGAGCATGAGTTCTTTGCCGAGCCTTTTCTCTATGAACCAGAATACACAGATGACGAACTTAGAGACATGGATGAGGCAGCCGCAGCTCAAGCTGAGCCGCAAACACCGTTGTGCTACAGACGTAGAGCGTCAGAAACATGGTGGTGTAAATGTGGAAATGCAATGCCAACAGAAGAGGAGAGCATTTGCTGTGTGGACTGGGACTTGTTGATGCCACCACTGGAGGATCTAAATATCTCCACTGATGAGACCGAGAGCACTAGCCAAAGACTTTGTGTCACCCAAAACACGGATTATCCACCATTACTGACCCGTGGCGTTCTGGAGATGTTTTTCCATGTGCCCAAAATCAATTGGAAAAAGAGGCCAAGACCCGCAGGACCAAACAACACGCTCTCTGCAGAGTAAGTTTTGTGCAACAGGCCTATGCCTTGCTAATAATGTTATTATATATATCATATATATATCATATATATCATATATATATGATATATATGATATATATATATATGATATATATGATATATATATATATGATATATATATATATATATATCATATATATATATATCATATATATATATGATATATATATATATATATCATATATATATATATCATATATATATATGATATATATATATATGATATATATATATATATATATGATATATATATATATATCATATATATATATCATATATATATATGATATATATATATATGATATATATATATATATATATGATATATATATATATATCATATATATATCATATATATATGATATATATATATATGATATATATATATATATCATATATATATATATATATATATCATATATATATCACATATATATATATGATATATCATATATATATATATATGTATATATATATCATATATATATATATATATATCATATATATATATGATATATATATATATGATATATATATATATATCATATATATATATATCATATATATATATATCATATATATATATATATATATATCATATATATATATATATATATCATATATATATATATATATATATATATATGTTATATATATATGATATATATACATAATGTTAATGGTACTCACTGTGCAGTTTTTTGTATGTGATGCTAGTACTAAAGTCTGTTTACTCAGCATCTTACCCAGGTTGTGTGCTGGATGAGATACTGCTTTCTTTTTCACTTGTATTGCTAAAATAATGGCTCCATCCCCCCCCCCCCCCCCCCCCCACAGTCAGTACAGGTTGGTGGCCTACCGTGTGGTACTCGAGTGGATTCTGAAAGGCGAGAGACTTGGCAAGGACAGCAGAAGAGTTTTACCTGCCTGTATTGTTACAAGCATCCGTTCCAGCTACCCTTCACCAGATGGAGTGTATACTGGTTTCAAGGAGGCAGAGGCAGCTTTTGAACAGTTGTAAAGACTATAAACAAATCCTAAGAGACTCTTCCATATTAATTTGTACTACTTCATTGTATTTCATATTTTTTCCCAAATCACAAACCTATACTGCCTCATTATAGATATCATTTCAGAATTTATGTAGCCGATAACTGTAACCTTTCCTGTACTATTGTGTTGTTTTGGAAATAAACAAAATGACTTTGGATGGTAAGAAAAATGTAACTCTGTTCCTTTGATTAAATATTTATTCTAGACCTAAGTGTGAAATGCAGACAAGCCAACCACAAACACATGCCATTTTATTTCAAAATGTCATGTTATAACTATATTAAGTAAACCCCTTATCAGACTCTGTATCCCAGAATTTTGAAAAAAAAAGAAGGTTAAAATTACATGCCACCAGCTAGACTTTTTATTTGCATAATTACAAATATAAAAAGGCAAGAGTAAAAATACTGCACCACTCAGACTAACTGCTGTATCGGGAAGTATGTTTTTGTATGGCTTCCTCTTTGGCAGGCTTTGGTTTCTGAGCAATGTTTTCTGGTATGGGAGGGATAGAAACATATGACTGGGGGTCTTTGATCTTGATGTTGGGGTCCAGGCGTCTCCGCACAACTTGCACCACCAGATTTTGCCGGAATGTTTGTGTTGTTGGAACATAGATCTTTTTGGCGACCCATTCTTTTGTTTGTTTTGGGTAAACCACATTGAACCGTGCTTGTCCTAAAAAACAAAGAAGAAAATGTAAGACAGAGGAAACATTAATGAAATAACATAGCTATTATAAAGCATTCAAAAAGTTTCGGTTTTAGGTTTCAAAAAAGGAACCAGGAAATTGTATCCAAATAATTAGAAATCTGGTACTTGTAATTTTGTGGTGGTGAGAATTAGGACCATAAAGTACCATATTTGTTATGCAGATCTTAGTGCAGCAGCTCACTAAACAGGTGCGGTTCCCATTGAAGGTTAAATGTAATGTTTGCTGTTTTTTCAATACAGCTCATTTTGAGGACATAAATGAGTATATGACACTGAGCAAAGCGCACAAGGTTAGGTTTTTTTGTTTTGAATATACTTTCTTGTTACCTGTGTTGGTGTAGGCCTGTTCACGCTGAACATTTTCATTGTGGTCCATAACGGCAAGCTGGGTGCGAGCTTTCATTGTTGAGTAGTGGAAGTGCAGTCTCTTCTCTGTGTATTTCAGCATAGATGCATGGAATACTTCAAGCTTCCCTGAGAAAACATAATAATGACAAGTTCACTAAATATTAAAAATTTTGAATTTCTCATTATTATTGTGCTTTCCTCGTTATATTTACCAGTATGTTTGAAAAGGGCAATTTGCCTAAGGTCTTTCATGAGTCCTTTGTCCAGGGCAATAGCTGTCAGGGCTTTGAAAGCGTAAGAGTCTCTCCTTAACCACCTCTTTCGCCTCTGTTCCTCTGACGTAAGGTCAGCATGCACACATTTAATCTCCTGTCCATCTTCCTCCCAGCGGTGCACACCACAGATGTGATGAAGTAGTGCTTTCCACTTCCTTATCAAATCCTGAGGATATTAGAAAATTACAATTCAGTATCAAAGAGAGTAAAAGGATTGTGTCAAAGACTATCAGTTATTATTATCATAACTTTATGTTGGCTAAATGTGAAGAATGTGATGTTACTCACATCAGGGTCACCTCCACAAGTGGAACAGGCGTACCACAAGTGATTGCAGATGGATTTTATCCATGGTTGCAGGTCTCGGTTGTCCTTTTTGTTGGATGCTGACAGCAATTTTTTCATTAGCCCTACCAAAAACAGAACAATCGTCAATGAGTCTCAAGCAAGCATAAAATATGGCAACTGGAGTAAACGTGTGAGTAGAAGATGTTTTGTCTCTCATCCAAGAAACTTATTCCTTTATAAAATAGTCTGGTTGGGGAGTACAAGAAATGTATCCACCAGGTGTATGGTGGCAACGTCACTGAGGTGGCACTAAACGTTAGACAGGACATGTTGTTCATACAGGTGGATCAAAGATTTTGTGAAGGATCAAGGGAACCAGGTGTTAGAGACAATATTGCTTTGTTGTTTTGAAAAAAAGAAAGGAGTGTGAGCTTTTTAAAACATTTAATTTACCTTCTGGGATAAATAAAGTATTTTTCATTTAATTTAATTTTAACGACAATGGGGAGCTCAGGGCTCAGAGAGTGTAGGTGATTGGAGATGTACAGTCTAAACAGACTGCACTTCTGCACATGGGTGACGTCAACATAGTCTTGGTGGGTATGAAGTACAAGGTGGGAGCAGGTAATAGAGGAGTGTGGGATCACAATGGGGCTGTGTATAACCTAGGCAGGTGCCAGCGCTTTGGCAAGGGAGGGGTAAATTATGTAAAAGTTTATGTGGCTGTACAAGGGCTATCCAAAGTATATTGTAAAAACATTTTCCTCATTATAGTAATTCCTTTACCATTGCACATTTACAAATTACAATTTGTCAGCTTACCCTTGACAACATGCCAGATGTCAAACTCATGGTGGATTTCCGGATACTCTTCGCGCATAATTTTTCGTATAGATGGTGATCGGTCAGTGGTTACCACCTCCACTTCAAGACCTTACTCAAGGAGATAATCAAGTCCTCTCCTGAACCCCACTGGCTCCATGGCAGCAGAGCTGGATGCCTCTGTCACCTGTACCACAAAACAAAAAATTAATGTTTAAAATCAGTTTCATACATCTTTGATGGGACAGTGCTTGTCATAATCCGATAGCAACATTGATTTTGTAATATGTTCCAAATATTAGACATACATTTATTTACTTCTTTAATTTCATTCCGCACATGATGAAAATGAGAAACATTACCCCAAAAAAAAGGAAGAAAAACAATATAATAAATGCACCAAAATTGATAATAAATACAATAGATAATAATAATATATAAAAAAAAAAGATACAATAAAAAAAGAAAACTGAAAATAGATAAATATAGAAATTTAAAAAATAATGTAGGCTACATTTATCAAATTGAAGAACGAAAACAAGTGGGATTAAGTACAAAACCAAATTCAATCCCACCCTTTAAAAAAAAAACATATACATAGATCACAGTCTTCCGCTTCACAATTATTATTTGCCAATTAGAATGACCAAAATCCAAATAAAACTACAAAATATATGCATATGTATCTTTGTGCAGTCAATTTGTAAACACACAATTGACAATTGTTCTCATATTATGTTGTAATATGAAATATGAAATAATAATTTCCCTTACCTGCACTAACTGAAAAAGGATTATTTCCTTTGTTGTGTCCTCCATGAAGCTGTAGGTGTTGTATTTTGCGGAGAAGCCTGGGCTGTAAAGACAAAAAGATAAATAGGCTATCAAATCCAATATTACATCAATTACTCTAACGATAACTTCAGATAATCAAGAGTTAAAAATTTGTCATTCATTATAAATAATATACTAACCTGTCTGATCGGCCATCTCCAGATACATGCACTCCCTTTTTCAGAGTATACTGTTTATGCAGTAGCTGTTCCATGATGGCCTTGTGCTGCTCGTTGTACACCATGTCGATGACTGGGATTAGATATGAAGACTGTATTTTGTAATATGTTGTATTGTTGGGAATTTGGAGATTCAGCAGTCCAGCCCAATCAGCAATTGTTGTGTACGTGGCACCAGTGAAGAGAGTTGACGCTGCTACAAGTAGATTATTCTCTGGCATCCCTCTAACATCTGGACAGGAACTCCACTCATCACTATGTTGATTCAGACACTCCCACAATATTTTGATACAGCTCCCAGATATCTGAACATTTTTTTGAATGATTTCTGTTCCACACTGATGGCAAGTCTTGAAAAGCTGAAACAATTTTGACTCGTCAAACAGCCATTTCCTCTCATCCCAGGTTCTCAAGTCTTCAGTTTCTTCTGAGGTTGGAGTTGAAGTTGATGTTGAGCTTGGAAGAGCAAAACTGGTGTCTTTTGGGTCTAGAGGAACACCAATTGAGGTCATGCTGACATCCAAACCTTCCTCCAAACGTTCCTCTGCCATCTGAGCTTGCATATCCTAAAATCAACAAAATAACCATTAGACTTGTTGAGAAGTTATATTTACTTGCTTTAAGCCACACATAAGCCGAAACTGTAACTACTAGATTTGCCATAGCAGCCAGTGGGTGAGTACTTACAGTTTGAGATAACCTTGTGGGGGGGAAGGCACGATAACTGCCAGATGTGGATGGACATGTGCGTTCTTTGGTTGTTTCAGGGCTTGTTAGGACCAGCTGCAGTCTTGCATGAGAGTGCTGAGGTCGATCACCAGGTTGTTTTGGTTTAACTGGAGTGGAGTGTGGCACATCATCAAAAGAAGTCTCAATGTTGGCTGTCTCTGTCACTGCAGCAGCAGGATGTTGTGAAATGCCCTAGAAACAAACACTATTATTAATAATAAAAAATAATCATGCTATGATTTCATATGAGCAAATAAAAGTTGCAGCATCTAAGAAAGACTATGTGGCAATGAATGTCATTCATTTCACTTTTTTATTTATTTATTTATGTATTTTAAATCATGGATCACATTAGTATTTCCCTGGGTGCTAAAAGTTTAGTTATTATCATCCAGATTTTTATTTTTTATTAACTCCTAAACACTAACAACTTGCAGGCCATCAATGATCACATTGATTGATCACAAAATTAATATAATGTCACACTGAGCTGTGGAGCGGGTGTTTGTCAATAGGTGGGTTGTACATACATACAGTGTAAAAAAAATCCGTCTGATAACAAAGCAACTAAAATAACATGACTTGTAAAAAATTCCATGATTGTCCAAATTGATGTGGAAGTTAACATTTTTACTCAAGTAATATTAGCGTGTTTTAACATTTTAACGTTTTTAAAAAAAGTACCGGTAAAAATACAGATCATATACAAACGTGTAAGTTACATAAATGGTTTATAAAGTACATACCTCTGTCCTTAGTTGTGACACCATCGGCACAGCTGTACTCTTTAATAAAGCTCTTCCTTTACAGGTTCGGAAATCATCCGCTGAAAAGTGTTCACTACAGACACGGAGAGAATCCACGTTAGCTGTCCTTAGATCTTTTCGTAGAGCTATTAGCCACAGGTTTAGCCTTTCAGGGTCCCGAAGAGGTAATTTGTGGAAAGTTACGGAATGGGTTATTCCACACTGCCGCTTCATCTGATTGAAGCATCCAGGATAGGAACACACTCGAACCATCTTCTTAATTTCACGACTAAAATCACTAATCAACAACTTTTTCAAACTCTGAGAGAGACTGACCTCGTGCTCACCTGGCTCAGGGCAGAAAATAGACAGGTGAAAAGCGGAACTTCTTCTTCTACGCTTGCATTATCGGCAGAGCAGACGCTGAATGCGCACTTTCTTCCGGTTTGGTCTGCCGCGGTTTCCGTAGAATCGTGAGCGCGCATGGGGGCGCTATTAGCAAATCCTATACACTACTGTTTAGGCTCTAAAACGTTCTAAATGACTTCGTTTCGAGTAAATTATGGAAGCTACCCACTCAGGACACTTGGATTACATTGGACGAGCAGTATGGAGGAATATTGACACGTTTTTGTGGACTTTTTTTGGACCTTTCTGTCTCGGGCGCCATAGACCTCCATTATTTGAATGTCAGCAGACAGCAAGAAGCCTCCCAGATCTCCAGATGCATTTGAGATATCAAAAAAGTACTCCAGAGTTTTGTTCAGCATGGGGGTGAGTAGAAAATGAAGGCTAATCATGTTTTGGGTGTACTATTCCTTTAATACTTAATGAAATGCATGCAGATAAATTTGCTCTCATATACTTATTTTTGCATTCTTTACAAATGTTTAAACACTTTTTGAAACAGAAGCTGCTGGTTGTGGTAAACGTATTTCCACAAATGTGCTGATTGTATTGCACAATAGTGTGAATTTTATTTTTATGTGACCTTACATTTAGAAAACAACAGCCATATAGATACTTTTTTGTCCTTTCTGTTAAAGATGAGCTATTCAAATACAGGCATTTTTTAATTATTGCAATATTGATTTTGGTTGTCGTTTGTGAAAAATGTGCCTGTTACACAAAGATGTTCAATTTTGGAGAATATATTGCAAATACATTTGTATAAAATAAATCTGTGTATATTTCTGTGTGGTTTATTTGTAATTTGTACCACTAAAATGATAGTTTTCAGACAAAATGAATATCATTTGTTATTGGACAAAAAATATGATTTTATCACACCAACTTTACAAAGATGCTTTGATAAAATATTCCCAGCTGCTTTACTTACTATAATATTCACCGAATCTGACAAAACTAGGGGATTAATGGATCAGAGTTGGCTTTGATCTTTATGAACTACAGCAGTGGTCCCCAACCTTTTTTGCGCCACGGACCGGTTATATGTCAGATAATATATTCACGGACCGCCCTTTAAAGTGTGGGGGTAAATACGATCAAATAAAATGACACGAATGGCATAAAATGAAATACAAACAGCATAAAAATAAAACTCACCATTATGTTAATTTAGTGGGAGCCCTGAGCTCCCACTAATTCAAGCCGGTCCCATCTAAGCGTAATCGGAGACAATGACACATGAAGTGTGCTCCTGATGTCCAGTCTGCTCCGTAGCTTTGTTTTGGTTGCTGTAACCGCAGCAAATCCCGCTTCACAAAGATAGGATGTTATAGATAGGATGCGTCTTGATCGGAATTAACCTGTGTCAACAGGCACAGATGCACCGACTGATGTAATTGGGAGATAATACCCTAATGTTTTGTATTTTTCAAAATAAAACATCACTCAGACTCTGATCGTTGATAAATTTTATATATATATATATATATATATACGTGTGTATATATATATATATATATTATTATTTATTTTTTTTCTTTTCTGTGCGGCCCGGTACCAAATGACCGACGGACCGGTACCGGTCCATGGCCCGGTGGTTGGGGACCATTGAACTACAGTACTTATGTTGTTCAGAGATTGATAAAAAAACAAAAAAAGCTGGATTGGTTCTAATCCATTCATCCTTTAGTCTATATACTCCTTGTCCTTTCTTGGTTCACGGAAGGCTAGTAGTGATCTCCAGCTGTTTTTGGGTAATGGCAACACAAAGATACACAGGAAAACAATAATGCACACACACTTATACCTATAGACCATCTATATGAATGATGCTAACTATATGAAGACGTAACCAAAAGAGCAGCCAGAAGAACAGATCATTTAAAGTTCTTACAAGTACAATTTCAGGGAAACTTAAGTCAGATTGAAATTTCTCTTAAATACATTTTACTTGCAGATGATTTTAAATTTGCCCAAGATATTTTTGACAAAATTGCAATTTTTAAATTGTCGTATATTTGACTTCAGAGTCCAGGGTTGACTTTTTAAGCAATTGCTGAATAATAGTGTGTTTAAAAAACTTGGGACACAGTCAGAGGATACAGAATTGATCATTTATAATCCCTAATAAATGAAGCACAATCAAAACAATAGCATCTTTTAGGAGTTTTGGTGGAATACAATCATTTGGACAATTAGATACACTAATGCATGATACATTATTAGACATACTACTGAGCCTTTGTTCAGTAGTTGTTCAACCTTTGTTGTTCTACACCCCACTCTTACAGCTACTCCCCACAGCGGAGGCTGCCATGGACACACAGGCTAGAAAGCAGGGCTACCAATTAGTGCTTTACCAGTTATAGCACATCTAATGCTAAAGTGATACTTTTATATGTAAAAAATATATTTATAAGTATAAACATTTTCAAACTATATTTAGAATTGATTTTTCAAAAGTTATCTACTGTGCCTTTGATGTTTGACTTTGTACAGTAGGTGTTATTTTGACCCTGTGTTAAAAAGAAAAATATAAGAAATAAATTCAAAGACTTTAAAAAAATTCCTTAGAATAAAATTTGTTGAGGTTGCTTGTTGCCCTTAGAAAGAAAGTTTATGTGTTTATGGTAGATATACAAATCACAAGCTCTTTCTATTACCTTTCTGGTTACTGTGTTCTTGTTTTTGTTTAATGATACAGAAGAAAGTAGAGTTCCTGCCTCTCAGTCTTCCTCTAAAACAACTAAAACATTTTTCATTTGGTCCTCCTGAAAATCTGGATTCTTATCTACTGATTCTTTTAAGCATCTATAGTCTAAGGAAAAGTACAAATCTTCCCCCCTCAGCCCCCCCACCTGAATGTATATGATGTATTTTGATGAACGGTTTGTACTGAAACTGAAATTTCGATTGCAATGTAAATTGTAGTTGACAATAAAGATTGATTGATTGATTATTTATCCGATCTAGGTTGAAGTTAGGTTGGGTAATTTTTAACATTTCTAGTTGCAACTTCTACATATATCTATTATTAATTAAAACTTACCTAAAGTGTTGAGAGAAAGTATGACCTATACCCAAATATTGGTAGGATTTAACATATATGTATGAGACTATTTGATGTTTTTTTTTTTTTTTTTAGATAAGATGCAAAAAAAAAAATAATAAATTTAGACTTGTGGAAAAATCTTTGCTTTCAAAACTTGCTTTCAAAGTTTATGTTTATTGTGATGTTTATGAAAAGTTGTTCCAATGTATCAACAGAATATGCTGTTAAAAATAAAACTAATTTCAGTTTTATATGTCCAGGATGTGTTTGAATAAAACATTGGATAAAATATATATTCTCATAATCACGTTAGAAAGGAAACTTCATAAAATAAAAAAAACATAAATCTTATCTGTCTTGATAGCATATTAGAAAACTGTTTTTTTTCTGATATGGCAGGGTTTGTATTATGCAAATCAGAACAGTCAGGTTTTAAAGAAT